ATCTATCTATCTATCTATCTATCTATCTATCTATCTATCTATCTATCTATCTATTCATATTTAATGAAAACCCACCTAGCTCCTTCTCTGCCTGTCTTCTATCAGCCATCAAGACTTTTCTTCTCGGAAAATCACTGACTTTGCAAGAAATTTGTGGTGGATTAACCCCCAATCCATAAATGTCCTCAGGAGGGAATTTAGAGAGAGAATTTAGAGGATGTCCTTAGAGACTTATAATAGAATGATGTAGTGATGGATGGGTCCATAAAGGAGAATATTTGCAGCTCTGGGTTGAAACGAAGGGTCCTTGGTACATTCTGAGCTTGGTGGTTTTCTTGCAGATGTTTCATTATGAAACTAGGTAACATCAGCAGTGGTAGAAGGGAGTGGGCTTTATGGAGTGGAAGAGGAGGGAGGAGGGGGAGGAGGAGAAGGAGGAAAAAGACTGCGATTCTTGGTGTTCTCTGAGCTTGGTGGTTTTCGTGCAGATGTTTCATTAGCCAAACTAGGTAACATCATGTTACTCAGACTGGTTTGGGTATGAAATGTCTGCAAGAAAAGAGGCAAGCTCAGAGAGCAACAAAGACCACCCCCCCCCATGTACGGGACTAGGGTCTGGCTTCTAAAGGTTGCTGCTGCTTGCACCCCAAAATGGACGGGTTTCCCAAAACCTTCCTAGAAGGTTTCCCAAAACAGAGTTCTTCATTAATGTTGGGCCGTAACTCACCCAGTTTTCAGGTGGCTTTATGAAAACTGATTTATCTCAAGGCTCCCTCTTCTCTAAAAAGAAAGAAAGAAAAAAGAAATGCGGAGTTAATTTTACTCATATATTTCAACTCGGATACTTTTACGGTGGACTCAGACAACACACTGAGATTTAGCTCTTGAGCTTCTGTTCAGCCATTCTTGTGAACCTAGCCATTGTGGCTTGGATAACACGGCTTATGGAATAAGGCAGTAGTTTTCAAACTTAGCCTCTTTATGAGAGCTGTGGGCTTCAATTCCCATAGTTCCCCAGCCAGGAATTCTGGGAGATGAGGTCCGTACCTCTTAAAATGGCCAATTTTTGAAAAACACAGAGTTGTGTGAACCTACCTAGGCCATTAGAGTATACGTTCAGTAAACTCTGATCAAGCTCACCCTTGCTTAGCCTTTAAAGCCTGGAATCATTTGGACCTGTTTTGCTATTCTGTTTCCCGGGGTTCTGCTTGAAATGATCTTATAAAAGAGAAGAGCGGGAATTGAATAATTGCTGATCTTTATGAGCACTTTCCTTGCAGTTATCCGTGGCAACATCAAGTCCGTCTCCAACGACAGGGAAGCCCAAGAATCGATCATCGGCGTGAGCGCAACACGGATCCATCGACAGAAATTTGCTCTGTTTCAACCGGTCAGCAAATCTGGAAAGTCCACAGGCAACATCCACACCCTCCTACGATGTGGGGTGAAACCCGGTCCAGGCAGTTTTTTATTCACTGGGTGGATGCACTTTGCGGAGGCCTGGCTCACCTGCGCTCCCCGATACAAAGACTTCATCCGCATCTACGAGGAGGCGCGACAGGCTCACGAGAACCCCTGCGAAGTCTCGTTGGACTGACTTGAGACGAGCTCAGGAAGAAGGGAAGCCTACTTGGGGCTGTGATCAAGCCAGAATCAGCCGTCCTTGTCTTGGCCGTGGGAGGAGAACCTTGTCCTTAGGCCCAAGCAAGACAAGCTCTTTCCTTCCTCTAGGAGACCAAATGGTTCCACCAACCCATAACTCTTTCCCTGGTTGTCTGTGAATGAGTTATCTCAGCCACGTCTGAAAGGAAAATCTTGAGATGTTCTCTGGTCAAGTTGGGGAACGTCACGAAGCAGACAAAAGGTTCCAGAACTTTCCAAACATGGGGATGAGGTGAGACTTGGGGTTTTGGTCTTTTGAGTTTTCCACCATCCATGAAAGCCAATCTAATTATTCCTGAGTTTGCAGCAAGCCACACCTTTTTCATTTCACTGTGGATGTCTGCAGATATATCATCAAGCCAACAGGAAGGACCATGAGTTTCGAGTCTAAAAGGATGACCCACTCAACTGTTCATCCACGATCAGTCAAGAAAGCCCAAGAGATTATCTAATTTTCTCTTTGAGGGTTGCGTGGCTGGTCAGCATTAGGTTCTGTCATCCAAGGGGACCATCCTAAACTAAATGAAGAGCCAGATATTTTCAGGGGAAGGGAAGGAAAAAGTACCCTGCTTCCAACATGCCAGAAAGAGAGACAAAAAATGGGACAGGAAAGGACACTTGTTCAGTTCTATTCATTTTCATTTTTAAAAAAATATATCCATCTCTTGGTCATTCAGGCAGAGGGGGACAAAGCTTTAAACAACTTGAAATGAAATACTTCCTCCTCCCACCCCCAAAACAATGAATGTGAAAATGGGTTGGTTGAATTCCAGATCTGGATATCTGAATAGTATTGCGAGATTTGCTCAAATAATCTGGATCATCTTTTCTTCATAAAATGGCCTGATTCTGGCTTCAGGGCCACCGATTCTCAATAAAATCCAGACTGGATTCACACATTCTACTGAACTTTGACATGGACTCAATCTATCACATAAACCCAGCCAATTGTGATTTATTCTATATATACATCCTTTTTTTTTTTTTAAAGCTGTGGCTTGGCACAGTGTGTGTGAATCCAGCCAGTAGTTGTCATTTCTTTAGCAAGCTTGGGTTAATCCAACCATAGCTTAATGCACTGTGAAAATCCTCAAGAGTCCATGGTCCACAGCAACACCTTTTTAACTGTTCAGTTAAGCTCTTATTCTTCCAAAATAATAATTGAACAGCTCCTGATATTTGGAGAAATATTATACAGGTTTTGATGGCACTGGAATCCTATCAGAAAATGCAGGTCAACCCTATTGTCGGGTAAATGTCTTCTGTGTGTCATTACCAGAAGCACATCTCCTTGTGTTGATGGATCTGGGAAAGAAGGAACCTCTGAACATAATGCACACTGAGATTATTTTGGGTTTATGTCTGTTTAATCCATAGTGCTCAAAAGAATCCTGGTGGTTCAAATTCCAATGCATTGTGATGTTCTTTATTGTCTGGGACCACAGTTCCCAATAATACTTGCTATTGTTTTGGGAGCTGATAAAGCTAGAATGTTCAAAGCATTTTAAGAGGGCATTCAATTTTCTGGCCCATAATTTTGAAATCACAGCTAACTATCACAGAACTGCCATTCTCAAGATCTTTTAAAGTTGAGAAAGGCCACTTATCCAATCCTAGTGATAGAATAGAATAGAATAACAGAGTTGGAAGGGACCTTGGAGGTCTTCTAGTCCACCCCCCTGCCTAGGCAGGAGACCCTACACCGCTTCGGAGAAATAGTTATCCAACATCTTTTTAAAAACTTCTAGTGTTGGAGCATCCACAACTTCTGGAGGCAAGTTGTTCCACTGGTTAATTTTTCTGACTGTCAGGAAATTTCTGCTTCGTTCTAAGTTTCTTCTCTCCTTGAGATCAAAAAGAATTGGACATAACATCTTGTTAGACGATCTCCTGAATGTGATGCTAGCTGCAGAAATCAACCTTCATTACTGATACTTTTTGAAAAAAAACCATCTAGTCTGTGATTTCAAAATTGTGCTTAAAATGATAATTATTTGGTGTAGCTGGGAAGGTGGACCAAATTGGTAGATTTGTAGGACTGTCTGTGGGGATTCTCAATCGTCCAGGTCATGGTTGTCTCAAAGGTGCTTTTTCAAGTGGCAACTGGATTTTCTAGTTTTTCTTTGACGACGTTTCGCTTCTCATCCAAGAACCAGAGTTGAAGAAGCTTCTTGGATGAGAAGCGAAACGTCTTCCAGTTGCCTCTTGAAAAAAAAAAAGCACCTTTGGGTTTGTAGGACTGCATACCATCTTCTCTTTAGGGCTCCTGTATCCAGGCTGCCAGAAAACTGAACAACCATTGGAAGGCAGCTAAGACTTCTTGAAATCTCTTTTATTGCACTGTAGTGGTTTTCTGGAGTTCTGGAACGCACCTGTGACTGGACGAGATGTCCTCCTGCCTGTGGGAGAAAGAGAGAGAGCTAAGAAAGGATGCACATCTTCCCTTTATCACTCCAAATTCTATGTAACAAGTCC